GACGTGGCACTGGAGTGCATCGCTCCATACAACACACCCGATGTGGCGCAGTCGGGGTATGCGCAGCCGCGCGGGTGGCTGGTCATCTACCCCTCTGTCGTGCCGGAGGATGGCTCACAGGTGGGGGTTGGATGGGGCTGAGCCTGTGTGGGCACTCGCAGGCCCCCGCACGCGACAGCCGACATGCACGGCAGCGCTGATCACAGCATGCATGACTGATGCATCGGCTTCATGCATCGTATCCACCCGCTCCCAAGTGGGCCCACTGGGATCTGCCCTAGCCCCCGCAACCCTTGCCTCCCTGCCGCCGGACCTTCCTGTGCGCCGCGCAGATCCACCTGGAGCGCTACTCGGCGCTGCGTGAGCTGGACTACTGCACTCCCGACTATGTGGCCTCCAGGTGCATGCCGCCAGCTGCCCCGAGACGTGCCCCGCATCGTAGTTCCTTCTGCTCCTTTTTACTTGCTGCTCAGTGGCCGACAGCATTGCCCTGCCAGGCCCCGTGCCGAGCGCTTCTGCTGGGAGCCCAGCAGGCGCGGCAGCCCCTCCCCCTCTGCAGCTTTGCGAACGTCAAGACGCTGCTTGGCGAGGACACGCAGCTGCTGTCCCCCAGCACATCCGCCGTGTATGGCAACCACAGCGTGAGCACAGCAGCCCTCCCCGCTCTTGTCCCGCGTGTGGTTGCGGCTGCCATAAGGGAGAGGTCAACCCCTGCCTCTACCACAGTTCTCGCTGCCGCTCAACTCCAGCACCGGCCAGGACGTGGGCACGGCCGCCCTGTTTGTTGTCGGGCCGGGAACCTTTACTTGCGTCACTGGCACTCCCGAGAAGGCAGCTGTGACAGACACAGGTGAGGCACTCTTTGATGATAATGGCAGCACGGGTGTGTGCTCCACGGCTCACAATTGCCCGCTGCCTTTATTTTTACAGCAGGTGCAGGAGGAGGAGGCGGCCTCAGCGCTGGTGCCTGGGCAGGTATCGCGGTTGGCATCGCCGTGGCCGTGGCCACCGCAGCGGCAGCAACGGTGCTCTTTGTCAGGCGGTGCCGCCGACGCCAGCGCCTCGCTGCCGGTTTGCGGCGCGGCAAGGTCGGCATGGAGGGTGCGGGGGCCACAGCATCCATTGACTTGATTCAGCGCCAGCAGCGCGACTTCAGCATCAGCAGCATGCTGCGGGTGCGGTTTGGCGGGCTGGAGGGGCTGGAGATTGGGGGCCTCATTGGGCGGGGCGCATTCGGCAGGTGAGGCGCGCGCCACGGCTGCTGCGCAAGCTTGCCACCCAGCTCATGTTGCTGCCCAGGGCCCAGGGATGTGCCAGCCGCTGTCTGGAAGGTCGGGTGATGCTGCATGTTGAGTTGTCCTGCCTGCTGTACTGCAGGGTGTACCGCGGGAGCCTGAGAGGCGCCACAGTGGCGGTGAAGGTGGTGGAGCACGGCCTGGGCGCCTCGCCCACCGGCAGTGGGCCGGGCGACCCCTCGGAGGAGGCCCTGCTCCTCTGCGGCCTGGCACACCCCAACATCGTGCGTGTGTTCAAGACCGCCACGCTGAGGCTGCAGGGGGCGGCCGCGCCGTCGGGCGGCAGCAGCAGCTGGGTGTCGCTCACGCCGCGCCCGCTGTCGCCGGCCCCAGCAGACTCCCCCTTTGGCGGCCCCGCCAGCCCTGGCACCACCATCCCTCCCATGGGCGCCGCCGACCCAGCACTGAACCCAGACCTCCCAGCTGACGACATGGCTACCGTAAATTTGGTGGCCCTGGCAGCCGCAGCCGCTGCCAGCACAGGCAGCAGGCGCTCTGGATCAGCCAGCCGCGCCGGCAGTGGCGGCGGCGGCATCGGCGGCAGCAGCTCGGCAATGCAAGCGAGCGGTGCCGTTGAAGGAGGCGCATGCTCTAGTGCCAGCGGTGGCGGTGCTGGGGCCGGCTCCAGCGGGCCCCTGTCTGCCGCGCTTGGGCAGTACGAGGTGAGGGCGTTTGTACTGCGTTTGGCCGAGCCTCATCTTCTTTTTATGCGTGATCCCGAGACCCAACCTCCCGCTCCGCCACCCACCCGTCATGTGCCCTGCCCTGCCCTGCCCTGCCCCGCCCTGCCCTGCCCCATCCTGCCCCGCCCCCGCAGACCTGGCTGGTGCTGGAGTACTGTGAGCGAGGGTCGCTGGAGGATGCCATCAGGAAGCGGCTGCTGTGGCGCCCAGACGGCAGCCGCCGCGAGGTGCGTGGTGGCGGGAGGCTGGAGGATGGCGGCTGCCTGAAAGCTGCCCTGCTGGTGCACCCGGCTCAGTGCCTGGCGCGTTCACTGCGCTTCATAACCTGCTTGGAGTTTCTGTGTAGGCGCTGCTGCTGGGCATCCTGGCGGATGTGGCTGAGGGCCTGTGCTACCTACATGAGTCGGGTAGGCTGGGTGCCCTGCAGACAGGCAGAAAGAAAGAAAGGAGGGCGTTGCCAGCAGCATCATGGTACGCTGCGGAGGTTGCGCGGAGCAGAGGCATGGGCCCAACTGCCCCTGCCTGCTCAGCTGGCCGTACTTGCCTCGTGGCGCTTGCCTGTGGCGCATGGCTGCTCTGCAGGCGTGGTGCACGGCGACCTGAAGCCGGGCAATGTGCTGCTCAAGTCTGCGGGGCAGGGGCGCCTCACCGCCAAGCTTGCCGACTTTGGGCTCAGGTGCGGCTGGCCTGCGGGCAGCTTGAGCTGCTCGCGAAGCTGGGCAGCAGCTTGGGCTGCTCGCGTCCCAGCTCGCCACCATGCCTTCCATGCCACTGATCCCGCCCCCTCCCTCCCGTAGCCGTGCCCTCCCGCTGCTGCTGTTTTCTCTCACCGCCGTGCCCCCGCCTGCCTGCAGCAAGCTGCTGCCCAGCGACCAGCACAGCCTGGTGCGCACCCAGACCCTGGGAACCGTGCAGTACATGCCGCCGGAGCTGCTGAGCGTGGGGCGGCTGAGCCGAGCCACCGACATCTTTGGGCTGGGCATCATCAGTGAGGCCCTGCTGCTGCTGTCTGCTGCTGCTGCTGCTGCTGGGCCCTGCGCGTTGAGCCACAGCTGCTCATCTGGCGCTGCTCCAGCTCACCTTGGTCTGTCAGGCTAGGCTTGCTGCTGTCCATGTGGCAGAGGCTGTTGTCGGCTGGCCGGCACCTGATGTGTGTGCGCGCATGCGCTGCAGTGCTGGAGGCGTGGACGGGAGCGCCCGCGTACGAGGGCCAGTCGGGCGCCGCCATCTTTTTCAGCGTGGTGCACCAAGCAGAGCGGCCGCACATCCCGCCCGACATGCCGCCGGCCTATGCGGCGCTGGTGCAGGACTGCTGGCAGCAGCAGGCGCAGGATCGGCCTGCCATCCAGTCGGTGCTGGTGCGGCTGCGCCAGCTGCGGGCTGACGAGACGGGCAGACCGGGGGCACAGCAGGCGACGGCAGCTGCCGACAGCTGAGGTGGGAGGCTGCCCAACGACTTGAGCGAGGCATGAGCAGAGTGCTAGTGGTGAGTAGAGCGCTAGTGGTGCGGTGGTGAGGGGACCAACTTGTTTAACTTGCAAATACAAACAGTGCTTGTGTGGGCTTAAAGTCTGGTAAAGCAAGAACTAGCTTGCAACATAGACTCCCCGCCGAAACGGGACGGGAACCGGGCGAAAGCAGAGAAAGCAATAAAACAGGGGTGGAGCAAGGCGACATGCAACGCAAGCAGCTGACAGGGCACGCATCGAAACGTGTGTATGACTGGCAAAGTGGCATGGCGCATTGGGGAGAAACGCAACGGTACGGGAGCATGGGCTGGCCAAACGGCAGTGCGGAACGCTAGGTCACTAGAAAAGCAGGGAAAGGCGCACTATGTATGCAATGAGGGCAGCCCCGGCTCGGGGCCGTTGAGAAAGCAGTGGGCGGGAGGGGGGAGGCCCCGGTGTGGGCGGGCCCCATCGAGGGGGGATGGGGCGCGCAAGCGGCCAGATGGGGCGGGGCGCGGGCGG